TGCCGAGTAGATGCCAGCGACTGTCAACGTGCCAGCGGAGGCTGTGATAGAGCCTGTGAGGACAGTGAGCGAGGCAGTCGTGGCCAACCCAGCAGCTGTAAATGTGGTCGTGGTAGTTATTGCGCCGGCTGAATAGATACCAGAGACGGTCAGAGTTCCGGCAGAGGCGGTAATAGATCCGGAAGTAAGAGTCAGGGATCCAGCTGATGTGATACCGACATTTGAGACCGTGAGCCCTCCAGCGCTGATAGTAGCGCCGCCAGCATTGACGAGAAGACCCCCCGCTTTCAGGGTGGTCGTGCCTGTAACGCTGAGTCCACCGCGCTTTATCATAGTGTGACCTTGGCCTGTAACGGCAAATACTTCTCGAGGTAAGGGACCATCATCTATGGTGATGCGGAAAAGGTCGAAAGAATCTGACATGTTGCGATCTGCACCAACTTCGAGCACCGCGCCTGCAAAAGCGTCCTGTGTCGCACGGATCTCCATAATATTTGAGTCGCCATAGCCGCTAATGTTTGAGTAGAAGAAGTAGCTACCGTTGAAAGCGGATACGTCTCCCCAAAGATCAGTGTTCCCGACTACCTTCAGGCCACCCTCATCCACTGTTGTTCCACCTGCGGTAACCCGAAGCCCGCCGGTGGTTATCGTTGCTCCTCCATCGACCACACTGAGCCCTGAGTGAAGAAAGAGCTCCCCCGTCAAAACTTGCACATCGCCAACGGCGACTGTGACATCACCATCGCCTTCTATAGTGAGCATGGTTGTATCAGCACCACCAGAAACAATTTCGAGAAAATTGAATGTGTCGGTGGGGTTGGCGTCGGCATCAAGTTTTAAAATTGTGTTTTCAAAGGAACCGTCTGTTGCATAAAGTAGAAGGATGTCGACATCATCTTCTGACGAAGCCGTAACACTACTTCCACATGCAACACCCTCGAAGTTGGTGTAACAGCTACAGGAACCTGTCGTAAAATCGCATGTACCACGTCCGCTGCAGAACTGGTATTCGTAAATATCACTGTTTACAACATCTTCAACTTGACAGAGCGCCGCGGCATCTGGCCAGGCCATAACATTGGACGCGTCGCAGGTGAATGACGATAGTGGAGGATTACCCTCATGGTGGAAAACNGTTGTTTTCC